CCGGCTTTGTTGTCCATGTCCATTGGTTATGCAGACATGCATATAAGTTCTGTGGTTCATCTCTTCCCTCCCCTCACCACTCCCTCATCTGAGGGTTGTCAGTCTGTATCCTACTTCCATGTTTCTGGGTCTACCCTATTCTTCAGACTGTTATGTTCATTATATTCCATAATTAAATTTATTGTTGACACTATTGCAGAAGTCCCCATTTTCCCCGCCTTTTCCCCCCTCCACTTGCCCTTACCGCCTCTTCCTCCAGCCATCACCACACTGTTGTCTGTGTCCATGGGCTACACAAGTTCTTTGGCTAATCCCTTCACCTTCTTTCATCCAGTCCCTCCAACCTCTCCCCCATGAGCTCTGTCAGTCTGTTCCATGTATCCATGCCTCTGGTTCTATTTTATTCATCAGTTTATTTTGTTCATTAGTTTCCACATATAAGTGAGAGCATACACACATAAATTCTTTGAGTGTGTGTTGTACTTGGGGAAAAGAAAAAAGTGATTTACAGTAGAGAAACCCAGCAGACATCCCTTAACCAAGTGATCAAAGTTAGCATCACCAGCTCTTAGCATGTAGCCCCTGGTACATGATAAGAAGGATAACTTACTTCTACAGAACTTTCCCCAAATCCAAACCCCAGCCTAAGTATGAGAAAACATCAGACAAACCCAAATGGAGAGACATTCTACAAAATGCCTGACCAGTACTCTTCAAAAGTGTCAAGATCATAAAAAAAAAAAAAAAAAAAAAAACAAGAAAAGACTAAAAAAATGTCACTGATTGGAGGAAATTAAGGAGACATGATGACTAACTACAATGTGGTATCATCTACCTCAAACAGAAAAAAAACATTAGTTGGAAAAACTGGTGAAATTCAAATAAAGGCTGTGGTAATTAATAGTTTTATACACATATTAATTTCTTAGTTTTGATGAATGATTGATAAAAGGTCATGTAAGATTTCAGCATTGGGGGAATCTGTGTGAACATTGTAAGAGAACTCTGTTGTATCTTTGCAACTCTTCTGCATAAATTAAAAAACCTAAAATATCTCTGAAAAATAAAGTGTATCTAAAAATCCAGGGCATGCGAATTTTCTGCCCTCAACCAGTCTTTCCAATCCAAACCAAACAATGGACTAAGATGGAAGCAAGTAAGAAGACCTAAGCATGTAGGAAGGATTCATCCCCAGGTATAATTCTAGGTGCAACTATTCAGAAATCATCCTGTAAGACACTTTGGAAGAAAGTACAAGATAATCTCTTTTACTAAGTTATTAGAATTAATATAGTTATTGTATAAACCTAATTAAATGGATACTTTCAACCAGTATTCTCTTAGTGAACAGTTCTTCTCAACTTCCTCTTCTCATGAAAGCCGAAAATTGAAATAATCTCCAGCAAGGTAACAGCTTCTTTTAGCACATCCTTGTTTACAGAAGACATAGGTCAAATGCCCCAAAGAAATTCAAGACTTAATTAGAACTCACGATTTTTCAAGAATAGGATCACCCTTGCCATTTAACTTGTCCCGAATTTGGTTCTTCAGAGACCAGTGCAAAGTTAAAAATTCTGGCAAAGTTACTGAGGACATAGTTCAAATGTACCTCAGATAGCATCACAAACCCAATAATTTAAAAAAATTTACATATGGTAATATGGGGACTCTTCCTTGTTTTTATTTGCTTTTGTTCTTCCAAGTTCTATAATGTATATGCATTAAATCTATAATTTTTAAAACTTAAAAACATATTAATAACTCACAGTCTTCTGGATTTGAAAATAGATTGCAGTATTTCCCAATGGGAGACTTTGAGCTGAACTATCAAGTTAATAACATGCTTATTGGGGATATTGTTTCCCATGATATTACTTCTCCAAGAGCAAGAGAAACATGTTTTAACTCCAGTTAATTCACATAGCTGAAAAATCATATACTCTCTCTACATTTTGTACAGCTCCGGGTATTTTGTTTTTGTTTCTTTGGGGTAGAATTCAATGATTTTATTTACTTAAAAACCCTTAACCAATCAACTAAACCTAAAAAGACCTCAGGCATGGATTTCCTGCCAACAGAGTCATAAAAACATACATCAATGGCTGGCCTCAATTGTTGCTAAATTACTGTAAATTACTCTTCAGTGACTGTTTTTTCAGGACTGAATCCAAATGTAATACAACTAACATTTAAAAAAGGAACTATGCAGAGTTAAAATTCTTCTGAGCTATCTTCCAAATGTGGTTACCTTTTTTTCTTAATTTTTTAGGATGGGTCCTCCAACATAAATTTTCTCATGAGCAACAAGGATATTCTAATATAGTGAATGGTTCAACCACTCTGCTCTCTCCAAGTAAACAATTAAAAAGAACACAGGGCTTTGTTCTGTGTTTATTGATATAAAGAACTCTTGCCAGAAGGGTGAACATACCCAAGGAAGTTTAATCAGGGTATTATAGATTCTTGGATTAAACAGTATAATCTGATCATGAATAGCATGTGATTAATATACCAAAATAATACTATCAGAAGCAGAGTGGATTAGAATGGTTTTTTTATTCATGGAATTTCTACTGGCAAAGTAATATAGGGCCCTTGGGTCAAAATGGAAACTTTGATGTATGAATAAATGAAACAGCAGAGGCATGGGAAATCTTGTTTTTTTAACTCTGGGTCCTGTTTCTGATTGTTTTCTCATAGCTTTCTGTTTCTATTTTATTATAATCATATCTTCTTGAATCTGAGTGTACTAATTAAAGTTTGTGCGCGTGTAAATGTTTAATTTTGCATGACTTTTTAAAAATTGGCTTTTGTTTTCTCAGTTATTACCACTTACCCCCACTGTATCTTGGATTTTCTTTTTTATGTTGCTTGTTTTCCTCAGGCTACCTGCTCAGCTCTGAGAATACAGTACTGTGAGTCTGGTATGGGTTCCCCCTGATGTTACACTTCAGTAGACTGAAGTAGGGTTTCTTGTTGGTTTGTTTTTGTTTTTGGTAAATCTCTCCGGAGTGAGAAATTATACTGGGAACCTTTGTGCTTGAGTGTCAGCTACAGGATTTCAGTTTAGAGTGAGTGGGTAGGGAGCCAGGCAGGGAACTTCTGAAATGTCAAAGAGGTGTAATTCATATTGTTATTCGCGCTAAATGCCTTAAAGTTCTCCCTTAAGGTTCTGTTCAACTTCTGAGGCTGCAGCCCCCCAGGTTTTGGCATGAGGAACACTCTGGTTGCCTGTCCTATGGGCAGGGCCGAGGGGGGGCACCCACTTTGCTCAGCTCCACATCTCACTTTCACCGAGTTCTCCTGGCAGAGCCCCTGCTACGTATCCAAAGAGAGTTTTTGGCTTCTGTTCTTTTATCAAGCAGAGCATCAGAAAGTGATATATTATGACAGCATGATCTTCATTTCCCACCCCAAAGAAGAAAACTTTGCTAATTTAAAACAGAATGGTATGTGCTCAGCTTTGAAAGAAGAACCGTTTAAAGGATATTTGGGGATCTTTGCCCAACTATATTTTCCAGTACGTCATTCCAAATGCTCTATATAGTAAAATCCATCGCTGGAGCTCAGCTAACTAACTTATAGTGTCTCCAATGGCTCACCCAGCCAGTACAGCTACACAGGAATATTCTCTCTTACATTAATATTAACACAGTTAGCCAATGGGAGTGCTCTTTACCACACCTGAAGGTCACATCAAAGCAACATAGGTGACAAAGGAAAGACAAAAGTTGGGTGTGTCATCATGATACACAACCTCTTTGAAAAGGTCTTCCAAAGTCCCTTTGAAAAACAGGCATTCGTCCATTTGCTGTAACTTGGATACAGTATAGGCAGCACACTGAAAACTCAGGTTTAAGCTATCTCAGGATCAATCCCTACTATACCAACATTGAGGTGAATTTCCCTGGGAACTACTTTCATAGGAAATAGAGAAATCCGTTCCTTCCCTCAAGGGGTTGGTGAGGAGGTAAAGATATTTTCAGAGGATCACATTTCAGAAGGTGTAGCAGGGCACAGCATTTAGGAAAATTTGAGGATTTTGAGTCTCCACCATTTGCCCACTGGGTGATCGTGAACAAATTACTTGAAGTCATTAAATTCTAATTCTCTCTCATTTTTCAAATGGGGGTGATGATTCCTTACTTACACAATTATATCAAAAAGCTTATGAGAACATATATATTATTATGTAGCACAGAGGCAGAGAGGTGGAATTACAGACTAAGTAAGTGTTTAGGACATAAGCAAAACGGGGGCCTCTAAAATGAGAAAAATGATTAGGTAAAAGTATTTGGTTTTTAAAAAGAAAATGATTGAATTAGTCATCTGGATAAAAAATAAGTTTAGACCCGGCAGGTGTGGCTCAGTGGTTGAGCGTCGACTCATGCAACAAGGGATTGCGGGTTCAATTCCCGGTCAGGGCACGTGCCCAGGTTGTGGGCCAGATCCCCAGTGGGGGGCATGCAGGAGGCAGCCAGTCAATGTTCTCTTTCATTGATGTTTCTGTCTTTCTCATCCTCTCTCTCTAAAATCAATAAAGAAAAAAAAAAGATAATAAGTTTAGTATTTACATTTTCTTACACTTCAAAAAATGCTTTCTTTTGACACTTTGTTGTTGTCTTACTTTGAATTACAGATAGGAATGGCACCACAGACCTCTCAAGGCTGGTTACTCAAAGGAGATTGGTTGCAGGATTCCTCCTCCCTCTCTGGGCCGTCTGGGACCCCACCAAACACATATACACAACCACCTAACTTCACTGGGCATGACCCAGTAATCTGAGGCTACCCACTTCTGTGTGCTGCGTTTGCTTACTTTCCACCTGTGCCCTTTTAGTTCCCATGATTCCGTGTTGTTCAGTGTACCATCAAGCTCACAGACCTGAGTAACAAATGAGCTTTTCTAGTCTGTTGTATGAAACAAAAATTCAAACAAGTAGAAAATGAATCACAAATTGATAAGCGATAAGTTTAAAAATGTACGTGAAGTAACTCACAGGTATGCCCCTTTTTGAGACTCTCTGCACGGGGTGAAACTGATGCACAGCAAAGCACACCAGGTATGTGCTCATGGGGACAGACTTCTTGAACGTTGTTCGATTCCACTTATCATCCACCGACTCTTCTTTCTATTGAAAACAAAAGATACTCTTTTTTTTTTTTAATCAAAAAATCAATCATGTACAAAAACAAATGATGGCCCCAAACCCGACTTCCTAGTGAGAAGTCCTTTGTCGGAGGTCGGGGTGAAGGAGAGAGAGAGGATTCCACTGCTTGGTGCAACTGCTGAGCCAGCTTTCTGGGTTTCTCTCCACGCCAGCTTTGCTTCCCTCGCTGCCAGTCACCAGTCCAACCCTCCATCTATGAAAACCTGCCCAGTTCCTGCTACCCACTGTTTAACACTCCCATGTGCCCTGCAGCCACACACTGAGTCACACAGCAGTGAGAAGCTTTAAAAAGGGATGAAGCACGGAGCGTCATTCACAAGTCAAGCATGTGCACACACGTGATCGCGGGGGAGTGTTGGAGGTCCAGCAGAGTAAGAGGCTCTGCAATAAAAACCTACTGGTATTAGTGTTGATCTCCTAATGATCCAGAATGTTCTCTTTTTTCCAGGACTTCCGGAAGTATACTCTGCAAAAGTTGAAGGTCATATGGGAGTTCCCGGGCAAAAGTCAGTCGAGTTAGCATGTTTTCTCTCCCCGCTTCCCCTCCCCCCTTCCACGCCAACACATACTAAAGGCACTTTACTCTGATCCAGTCTTCTGCATTGGCATCTCATACTTTATGTTTATTCTGTCCTCTCTCTTCTCTAATTGAAACCCAACTGCTCAGGGGCCTGACCCTGGAAGAAAACTAGTTTGACAAATTCATTCACACTGAGGCATAGATGGTGGCTGGTGGCAATTTACTTTGTAGTTCTCTAGAGATTTTGTTTGCTTTATTTTGTTCTTGTTTTTTGGAAGAATATTTATAATAAAAAGGGATGAATTTTCGAGATGATGTTTCAGATAGTAGATCAGAAAGACGGGAGATATAATTTTGTCAGGGTGTCTTTCTGATAGTAAGTAGGTGAGAATTAGATCTAAGAACAAGCTCGACCCTTTTACATGTCAAATGCTTAAGGTATAATATAACTCAACATTGAGGTAGTGACACTCCGGTTAACTACATTACCCATTATGGAAATGAGGATCAGGAAAGTTGAAAGAGTCTCATGTTAATAGTTGTACAGACAGAATTTATTGTAGCTTTTTTCCCCCTAACATTTAATGAACATGTCTAAATCACCAGAAGATCTATGGGCATGCTGTTCCCTGGAATTGGCTTCTACGCTCCAATATTCAAGTAATGATATTTTACAGTATCTCTATTTTAAAAACTGGATGTAGCCATGGCCGGTTTGGCTCAGTAGTTAGAGCTTCGGTCCGTGGACCAGAGACCTGGGTTTGGTTCCCACTAAGGGCACGTACCTCGGTTGCGGTTTGTCCCTGGCCCCATTTGGGGTCGTGTGGTCGATGTGTCTCTTTCACATCGATATTTTTCTCTCTCTCTTCCTCCCTCTCTCCTTCCCACTCTATCTGAAGATAAATGAAAAAAAATGTCCTCGGGTGAGGATTAAAATAAATAAATAAATAAAAACTAGATGTATATTCAAATACAAACCAAGACTAGTGATGAGGCCCTTGAGTATTTTTCAGTCTGTAATTCTTTTACTTTGCCATGAATCTGTCATTCTTTCAGTTAAGCAGAGCTCAGCAGGTGTGTATCACTGTATTGTCTCTTGCTTAGAAAACCCGGCATGGCATTTTACTAGACTGTGATCTCTTGGGATAAAGACTTCTAGGATTCAAAAAAAAGAAATTACTCAAGTGTATTCTGATACCTCTATGTAAGCTATTAGAGCACATTTGATTTTAGGATTCAATGGTGCTCTTTCATTGCAAATTGGGTAATTTGTCTAATATTTTAAATAAACTATCATAAAAAAAAAAAAAAAAAAAAACTTTTGAAAAATACTCACCAGCACTGGCATATTTGAAAGTGCCTGATAGTCCTTGGGGTGGACGATAGATATTGTAAAAGTTGCCTTTCTGTTGGGCTCATCAAAACAAGGGAAGGATTTCCTGGCATCTGTTGGTTCATGATCAGTAGCTGCTATGCTCCTTGGAAACAAACACACAAACAAAATACATGTTGTGTCTTCTGTCAGCCTCTACATTTCTACTCCTATAGAAAAAAAATCAACTGTATTATTATCATCGTTACATTTCTTAAAATAAGTTTCTATCCAAAAACTATCAAACAGTGGTCAAAGTCTTTTCTGGAATCTTTAGGTTAACAAATAAATGGAAGTCCAGAGACAATTTCCGATATTTTCTATGAATATTTAGATGTTTTGGTGCCATGATAAAGCATATGTGATCTGTAGATTAGCAAGAATAAAGCCAGTTATCACTCTCTTAACCACCAAGTTGTTGGAGAAGTAGATAATCACAAAACTAACTCAGGGCTCATCTCGAACGGCCCTTGAGAGAGTGAGCAACTGTGTTCTGCCACAGGGTAGAGGAGTATATTCCAGATCCCCAGCTCCTGTCCCTAATGACACGGTTTTCCTTATTTATGTTACACCAAGGACAAAACCCAGTTTCATTTTCATGCCTAGCTGGAGCTCTGAGTAATCTCCCAGGTGAAGCAGCCCTTGGCCAGGTTTAAAGCCTATTTTTGAGAAGAGAGGATTTTCTTACGGCTTGAGCTTGGCACAGACATAGGTAAGCAAACATGTTTATGTTTAATGTTTCCATCATTTCAAAGTGGAAATGCTTTTTCTGAGCAATTGCTCAAAAAGCCAGTGAATATACACTTCTTATGTATAGTTATATCACAGTAAGAAACCATTATCATATTACTCATTAGAAAAGTAAGCAAAGTAAAAACTGTAAAAGAAAGGAAAAGTAAAAAAAAAAAAAAAAATTTCACTTAGACTCATTAATAATTTGTGTAAGGAAAATATTTTGTCCTCCAAGATCCTCAGGGATTAAGGAAGGCATATCATAAAGATTACCAAGCTACATTATTAGATCATTTATTCATCCAAAAAATATTTATTGAACCACTTCCTTCCATACACACACACACACTCTCTCACACACACATTTGTGAGGCATCATCTAGGTGCTGAGGGAACAACAATGACAGAATAAATAAATAGATAAACAAATAAGTAAATAAATAAATAAGGAGCCTTATGGGCGCTCCATACAAAATAAAGCAGAGGGAACGACGGAAAATGACTCAGGAAAAGTGGTGAGCAACATGAAGTAGAGTCGTCAGGGACAGTCTCTTTGAGCAGGTGCTGGTTTGCTGATATCTCGATGATGAGAAGAAACCAGACAGGTGAAGATTAAGGAGAATGTACTGTAGCAGAGGGAATGGCAAGCACACAGCCTCTGAGGTGGAGAAGAATGTAATGTGGTGAAGAGCCCGAAAGGCGTCCAGTGTGGCTGAAGGGCAGTGAACCAGAGGACTGTGCAGAAGAGGCATCTCAGGAGGCCAGCAGACACCATGGTAAGAGTTTGGATTTCATCTGGGCTCTAGGGTGTACTATACACATTAATTTGTTTTAAAAAAATTATGTCCTAGGTCAACATCAATCTATAAGAAGTTAAAATATTTTTGAATTTCTTTTCAAAATCTCTGGATATAAAAATGACTTCTTAAATAAAACCTCAGCCAAGAAAACTAATCTATGTAAAAAAAAAACAAAAAAAAAAACACACATACAACCAGAAAAGTGTCGTCTGGAGGGATGGTTGACTAAGGAGGGACCTTTCTGAGATGATCAAAAAAAGTCAAAAATCCTGATCTTCATAGAAGCGTGGGTAACAAAGATGTGTTAATTTGTTTAAATTCATTGAATTGTGCCCATTAGATTTGTGAATATACTGTATGCAAATTTTACCTAAAAATAAGTGATCTAGTAAGTAGCTTTGCATTGTTGCAATGGTATGGGTTAGCAATTCAGAAACAACTTTCTCTAAATGCTAGTTTGTGCAAATAAAAGAAAAAGCAATGGAAAGCAGCTTTCTCACTGTTGGGGAAGAGAATTATAAATTTGTAAAGGGGGAAGCTTAGAATGTCCCCTTGGTATTATATTATAAGTGCAGGTTTGGTATAAATTCAATGATTTTCATATAGATAAGGTAGATGGATATAAAAATACACACAGGACATATGTTTCCTAGCTTCATCTGCTGAACAGGACTGAATGCAATTACAAGCATGTAGCAATGAGCACAATTAGTTCCCAGATGATCATTTTTAAATATCACTCTTCGTTGAAAGAAACCAGGACTCCTCAGAGAAATGGCTGATTCCGGTACAGGGTCAGGAAAAGTCCAAGATGATCCTGGAACATCTTGGTGTGCCAAAAAGTAAGGAAGTTCTCAAAGAATCATGGGAACAAGTAAAAAGCACACAGGAGTCTGCTTGAGGGGACTACCACTAGCCAAATCTGGGAAAATTGGAACATCAAAATAAACAATGGAATTATAACCCATTGAATAAAATAAGAATCCATAAATCCTTACTCTAATAAAATATGAATAAATAAATAAGTGGGGGAGAAAGGAAAGCTCTTCTTTATCATAGATTGCCTACTAATAATTTTTGGAGGAATGATGGATTTAGAAAATCATCAGTGGATGCCCAAACAAATGGGTGAAAAGTTTCTGTTTCGTTTTGGGTTTTTTTTGGCACGTGCCCCTAGCAGGAACCAAACCCAGAACTCTCTGGTCCACAGGTTGATGCTCCAACCGCTGAGCCAAACCGGCCAGGGCCAAATGGGTGAAAGTTTGATGAGGAAAGGGATATCTGAATAGTTGCAAAGACTCTCTCCGAAACTTACAAAGGGAAAAACTAATTTTACAATGGAGAAACCGGTTGTATATCACCTTAAGCAAGTGATCAAAGATAACAGCATCATTAATAATAGTACAAGCCAACTCGATGAGTCTCCTGATGTGACTTCCTGAGAGGGACATGGCATTACTTCTGTGACATTCTTGACAAAAATGTTTAACTTTTATGTCATGAGGGAAGTCAGACAAACTATAATTGAGGGACATTCTCAAAACAGGTAGTCTGAACTCTTCAAAAATATCAAGGTTGTGAAAGACAAAGACCAAGAACTATTCAGTTTAAAGGAGTCTAAAAAGGCATCGCTAAATGCAATAATGAATCCAGACTGGCTTCTGGACTATGAAAAAATAGCTCAAAAAGACATTTTGTGGTTTATTGATGAAATTGGATTATGACTGTGTATTAGATAATTGTATTATATCGATGTTAAATTTTCTGATTTTGATAACTGGGTTGTGGTTGTTAGAGAATGTTTGTGTAATTAGGAAATATACACTGAGTGTTGAGATAAAGGGGAACAGTGATTCAATATACAGAGAAACAGAGACATTGAAGAGGGAAGAGAGAGGAAATAGGACAAAATGTAAACAATTGGTGACTCTGAGTAAACTGTTTCTAGGAGTTCCTTTTACTAGTCATGTAACTTTTCTGTACCTTTGAAATGATTTCAAAATAAAAAGATACTCAAAAAAGTCTCAGCCAAGAATTTATTCTTCAAAAAAGTAATTTCTGCCCTGGCCAGTATGGTTTAGCTGGGCATTGTCCCAAGAACCTAAAGGCTGCTGGTTCAATTCCCATCAGGGCATATGTCTGAGTTGCAGGCTTGATCCCCAGTAGGGGTTGTACAGGAGGCAGCTGATCGATGTTTCTCTCTCACATTCATGTTGCTCTCTCGCTCTCCCTCTAAAAGTCAATAAGAATTTGTTTTTAATTAAAGTAATTACTGATGAGTTTTTGTGATAATAACAATTTATATAGTGAACTAAACTTTCTAACAACATGCAGATTGAACTGAATTGCAAAGAAATCTGTACACTTTTCTGGGGTACCAGGGTTTTCTAGTAAACTGCACCAAGCTCTTACTAGAAAAAAGTAAGGAAGTTCTCAAAGAATCATGGGAACAAGTAAAAAGCATGTTGTGTCAGCTGTCTTTTTCTCCCAAATTCTTCTGGCTTCTGAGTTCTTCCAGAGGCAGAGGAAAAGGACGTGTCACTCTAAGAGAATGTCGCAGCTTAAGCACACCTTAGAAATAATCCAGCTAACTAATTCGGGAATATAAGTGTGTGTGTGTGTGTGTGTGTGTGTGTGTGTGTGTAATTTGTGTGCGGGAGATGAGGATGAGGAAGGAGTGGAATTACATGTTTCGAAATAATAGCCGTGGGGTAGGTTTTCAAATAGTCTTTTCTAGTCTCTGCTCTACACCCCAGCATCCAAGAAAGCAAAGAGTTTTCTATCCTTTCCCCATCTTTCTTTAAAAGAGGTTGTGCTTGAAAGCTCAGAGATACTGTACTTTGGAAATGGAACATAACAGTGTCAGAGATGTCTCTGTGTGTGTGTTTGCTGGTCCTGTCAGTGAATGTGAATCACGGCAAACTCACTCAGTTGCAGTGACCTGCATGTACATAGGTGTAGGTAAGGTGCCATTTGTCAACAAGAAGGTTACAAAATGTGCATTGTTTTCTCTAAATTGTATATATAATTTTATAGGGAAATCCCCTTCTAAGTGTAAAATTTCTTGATTCTAATTCTACTTCAGCCCCATAAGTGTGACCTTGTACAAGTTACAAAACCTACGATTCTTAGTGCCCTCATCTATAAAAGCTGGTGACCAAAGCACATCTGGCCTCTTCACAGGTTCGGGGGAGAGTGGAGGGGTAGGTCACAGGTGGTACTAAATTTGAAACTCTCATGAAATTTACATAATGGGGCTGATGCTCCACATTTGGCTCCACCATTAGACCATCCGCCTGCGGTCCAGAGAGACCCAGGTTCGGTTTCCGCTAAGGGCACATACCTCAGTTGCAGTTTGTCCCCGGCCCCTGTGGGGGTTGTGTGGGTGGCAGCCAGAGGATGTGTCTCTCTCACATCAGTGTTTCTCTCTCTTCCTCCCTCTCTCCTTCCTGCTCTATCTGAAATGCAAAAATGTCCTCGGGTGAGGATAACAAAAACAAAAACAAAAACTACATAATGGGGTTGGGATACACTTCATTCTATTTTCTTAAATTCTAGAAATCTAACTACACTT